TCACTTGAAAAGTTATCAAAGAAAAACATTTTTCATTTTGTAACTTCGAGGGCCCGTAATTTGGTTACGAAGACTTTTAGGAAAAAAAGTTATATGAAGTACTGGTGATATTTTGACCCCATCTATACATTCCCGAGAGAGGAAAAGAGGAAGTCCAGGGACACCCTGTATATGTTTTATAGGGCGGCTCTCGCCAGCCATAGTCTCTACCGTATATGGGCCCAGAACGTTAGTCTTTTATCGAGAGTGACTCCCAGGTATTTCGCTTCGTTGGTCTACGGAATCTCTTGTCCATTGTTTCTTCCGGGTGTACCATCCTCCGGGTGAACAGTATAGCCTGACTCTTGTCAGGTTTCATACTGATTTTCCAAAGGTTGGCCTATTCCTCTAATCTGTCTTTTTGCTGTTGCAAGTATCTGGTAGCTTGCGCATGGCTAGTTGATCTCGCCCATCGAGCTGTGTCGTCCGCGTAGAGTGCAAACTTGTTAAAGTTGTTATTTGGCTTGGCCACGTTTACTGTATATGCCGAAAAGAGGTGTGAGGAAAGAAGTGCACCTTGCGGGACTCCTGCTTCCAGTAATGGAGATTTCTTGTCCTACTCAGCAGCGGCATCGCCGGTCGGCTAGGAAAGATTCGATTAGTGTTACCATTTGTTTCAAGCCAAAATTTCTCATTTTGGCCACTTTTGGCCAAATTCTGTCGAATGCCTCAGAGACGTCAAGGAGTATCGCTCCCGTGTGGTATCCTTTGCCAAGGTTGAAACCTTCTGTCGCATAGGTCTCTCATGAAGCAGTGTATGTCTAGACTCTATAGACAATAAAATGTCTAGGCCAATAATGTTTTGTGGTTTTCATTCACATGACGCCTGAAAATCGCAAACACAAGCTGGTGTCATTTTCTAATTGCCGAGTGTAATGGAGACTGTATGTTTATGTGTCAGATGATGTGATTTGTGATAAATGTGAGGTCATAGTGGTTACTGGTTGTATTTCATTTGTGATCTCATTTATAACCTATGACAAGTCTAAAAGCGGATTTACAGAAAACGGACTTGCTTGTGACTAGTTTCGTTTTCATAAACAGAAACAAAAAACTTGTTTCAGTTTCGAAAACAAACCTGAATTCCACCAAATGGACAAAAACCTATCTGACTCGCGTTTTTTGTTGTGAAATATTTTCTATCGTTTCCAATGAGCGTGAGGAGCGAAAGCGAAAGAAAATAACAGGATACTAGATAGGATCATTGTTGAGAAGACGAATAGATTATGAAACGGATAAAATTATGGCAGATTTGATAAATGATAACATCGGAATGAATGGAACTGACATCATCGTTTCGTTATTCTCTAGAAATGTTCAATCACGAATTTGAAAACTTATTAAATGTACAGGGAACAAACATTTTCAAACGTCATACATATTTTTTTATATCTGAATAGTTGCTTGTTCTTGTCGCCGGCCGTTTCCACATAGCGAACTCTGTTTACGAAAACACAGACAAACATCGAAACTTTTTGATCTTTCAGTTGTTATGGGATAGATCCTGAGAAAAAATATGATAATTATCTATTTGAGAATGGATGACAATGTTTCAAGTGTAAACAGATTTAAAATTTCTCGAAAAACAACTGAAATGGAAGTGAATGAGAGGTTTAAATTTTTGAAAATACTAAAAATGGCCGGACAGTTTTGTTAAAACAGAAAAAAATCGATAAAAATTCGTAGCATTCAATTTGTAAAGCAAACAAATCGATGTGACTTGAAATGAATAAATGGGTTGAAGTAACTGAAATATTGAACAACAAAAATGAAATAGAAACAAAAAAAGTAAACAAAAAATAATCAAAAATAAAACTAAGAAAATATTTCAAACTTCACAACGTTTTAATTGTCTTCAGGTGGTAACGGGAATAGGACAGATTTCTGCCAGAACTCGAAAGCATTGAATTTATACTCCTATACCTGACATCAGTAGTTTGTGCTACTGTAGATTTCATCAGTGGTGCTAGGCTCGGTCATGATTGCAATTTTAGAATTCACTACCTCTTGAGGAAAAACCTAAATTGACAGAAAACTCGTGGTTAAAATTATTTATAGGTTCCTAGATAACGTCTTCGTAAAGGAAGTTGTTATCGTCACATCTCATCCAGTATTATTTTTTTGCCTGCAACCTAGACTGCCTAATATAATTATTGTGAATAGAAACAGTGTTTTTTTTCGGATTCTGGTTTCATCTAGCTGTCTATTTTGTAAGTGACAGTTAGTTAGCTTTAATGCACCGTCGCTGGAACCCTCGTTAATTTTTGTTTTCTGTCGATCACGTAGATGGCGTATTCGTAGTGGGAGTCTTCATCGCCACTTTTCAAGTAATCCTCAATATTGTGAATGCCTTCATATTATCCAAGGAATGTGATACTTTTTCATAAATATTATTTGGAGTTATCCTGTGATTGACAGATTTGAATTGTGAGTTTCATGTGGTTAATGAGTAGCTTTTAATTCGATATTCCCTTTTTGCTAACCTAACAAACGCGATAGGCTGCTTTTTTCTCTGCCTCCAGGATAACTCTAACTATGAAAACTCATTCGCCTTGAAAGTTAACTGTCCCCATGTTTTTCCTGTAGATTCGCATAAGCGAAAACATGTTCTAGTAAATGACGCACTGTACGTATTATATTTGGTGTTATTCTGAAAAATAAATTGTGAAATAAGTGTATATTTTCATTTTTAATGAATGACTGAATGGCTTAAGAAGTCGAATAGTTCAAGAGTTATTTTATGCGAACTTATATTTGCCTTTTTCGATCATGCATACTTTGTTCCACAATTTCAGTTGGTAATTTTCTTCTCTATTTCAGTTGGGATATTTTTTTGTGGAAAATGTGGCAAACAATTCAAAACCAAAAGAACACTGCGACAGCATGACAGGTTCTATTGTGACACCCAACCATCTTACGAATGCCCGCAATGCCCATACAAGGCTCAAACTTCAGGGAACCTCAGAAGACATCAGTTTTTGCTTTCGCATACGAATAAAAAAAAGAAGTCAAGACTAACTCTTTAGTTTCTCATCATTTCTTTCGTTATCTAATTACATGGTTTGAAATATTGAATTTTTTTTTTTAGGTACAGATCTTTGATAATTGCTTATTTAATTTTGTTTTCCATTCGTAACAAGTTACTTTGTTTCGACAAATAAAATAGTGTTTCATGATTTGCATTTCTTGTATTTTCTTGTAACCTTAGGTTTTAACGAATAATGAAATGGAGGTGGGACAACTGATTTGAAGATTCCTAAACAATTTGAAAAAATAAATCCTCTCTCGAGGAATAATTCAACCCACAGAACAGTCATATGGCAGGTTTGAATATCCAGTGAAAAATGATGAGCTTGCTGAATTCTAAGTGCCTTTCTTGTTGGAAGAACTGATAGTTGAACGATAAATGAATTCACAAAGCTCTTCGTATGTGTGTTAGCCGCAATTGAAACCCTTGACGTGAAATGAAACTAGTGAAAACATTTTCCTCAGACAACAGTGTATAAGAGTACCGTTAACATCATCAGGTGATAACTGAAACCAACTACTCATTTACGAATTACGGCACTTTAAATATACCTAGAGGTGCTCTTTGGAACGTTTGGTTTGACCAACATACTTTTTCATTCTCCGTTTCCATTATCCTGTTTTTCACGTTGCCTACAGTTGTTAAAGTGTACATGCAGTTTTGTAAGTTAGTTTCATGATTTTTAGAAAATCCGGGCCAACCAATTTGTGTATTTTGGTTCATATGGAAGAACTATGAATTATGTCTTTTCTTCTTTGAAAAAAGTAGGGAATTTACGAGGACGCTCTTAAAATTTTCATTTCACAATCAACTCATCAAAAAACCGAAATGAAAATTCAGATAGTATTTTCATAATAATCAAAGTTCACAGTTCCTCCATCTGAACTGAAGAATGATTATGATCTGGTTCAGCTTTTCCAGCTTATGATCTAGTTTGACCCTTCATTTGATCTTCACGTCAAATAGCTAGTAGCTAGTAGGCAAGTTTCAGATATCATAGACCACCTTCCTCTGTCGTCTACGTCTGTGAATTTTGGAGCCTGACAAGGGATGTATGATGATTGACTGTCAGAAATGTTCAATTAATGTTTCAGGTACTCGTATTATATGCATTTATTTCAGAAATTTCACATGGCTAAGACCAGCCAGGATAGGTACGTAATGATTCAAACCCTTTCATTTGGCCACCATTTTCAAGCGCAATGATCAACTCTACATTGGATATGTACTGAAATTTTTTGCAGGATCCAACTGCTTTTGGCGCCACTGAAGTCATCATTGTAGTCGATATCGATTAGAGATTGGAGTTTATCAAGTTTAATCGCTCAAAATGTGTATAAATCCAAAATTTTCAAAATGTTGCTGAAAAAATGGTTAAAATGTATGATAATTTGAAGAAATCTCAAGACCATAAGTTTATAACGTTATTTGGGTATTTTTTTGATCAATTGGAACAGCAATTCAACGTTTCTTCTTTTAGAATTTGGTTGGAAACCCCTGCTCTGTTCAGGCTGCGGACGCTCTTACAGAAGTAAGGATTCTCTAAAGTACCACCGAAGAATGGAATGTGGGAAGGAAAAACAATACAAATGCATGTTTTGTGACCACTACTCCAAACGTCCATTCGATATAAAGAAACACTGTATAATGAAACATTCAGAGCAAATTATATCAACCAAAAACTGTTACGTCAAAATGTAAATACTACTTCAGTTACAAGTATATTATTTGTTTTTTCAAGTATATGAATATTCAACGAGAATTTTTTTAAGTATCTTGAATGATAAAGTGTATAACATGCTTCGTCTAGGTAATATGTGACCCAGAGTTAATATGACGTGAAATGAAAATCAAATTATTAATGGCTTATTCAGTAAATTGAACACTACTGAAAGTGAAAATGAAAATGAATGAAGAATTGTGCAAAAAAATACCATTGAAAAATTTGCCATTCGGGAGCTTTCCTTTTCTCACGCTCTTGTTGTTCAGTGCACCGTAGTCCGTTTTCCCGCTTGTTTAGAGGTTTCCATACGCTAGTCTGGCTAGAAGCCAGTACGCAGCTTCTTCAAACATTCATACGAAACTCAAACATTTTTATCAACATTTGCCTAGGTACTGGCTTATTACGTATCAATTACTAATTACCGACTTTTATAGCGTATCATAACGGTACTGAGACATTCAAATGTGTCGATAATTATATATTGTATATTTGTATATTTCACAACAAAATCGAGTATTTTCGGGAAAAAAAAGGGTTTGGAAGAAGGGGTGAAAGTAATTAGTTTCGAAATAAACTATTTACAAGGATAAAATTTCACTTACATGGAACACTGTCATCCAAAGTTATTTATTTTCCCATACGTATGTATCCGAATAGGCCGGCTTTCCATCCATATTTTCCTGTTATTTTTTATATTTTTCTGTTTCAAATTCCAAGTTCATGAATTTCTTTTCACAAAAACTCACTGCTCCCCTAATAGCCAATATCTCGCATGATAGCTTAAAAATTTTCCTCGTTCCTCTTTGAAATAGAAAATAATCATGGAAATATGATGGAATCGGCCGATACTTGATGAAAATCCATAACTAACGTATTCCAAAAACACTTTATTGTGAGATTTTCACTAAATTGTTTTACAAAAACGCAACACGTGTTTCGCCATACAATGGCTTCATCTGGCGTGTCTTTCAACTAATTCTACACATTCAATACTAAATATATATATAGTTTATGGAGTACCTGAAATCAAAGTACCTGTAAACGAAGTACCTGAATTTTATTTAGCTGATATTTTACCTGAGTTTCTAACGAATTAAATTACCTGCACTTATGTTCCATTTTCACATTTGAAAAAATATATTCAGTAACGAAGAGTTATTGAGTTCTAATTGATCATTCAGTAAATTACCCGAATTCCTGAATCTATTGATTTCTAAACATTCTAGATGATTAAGTTTCAAACTCTTCTCTTCTAAATGTAACACCTCGTACTCATGATTGAACTCATGTCCTTCTGCTAAAAGATGGTTTGCAAATGTGGAATTGGTCTTTCTATTTACAAAACTACTCCTATGTTCTTTAATTCGTTGGAAAAATGTTCTTCCTGTTTGGCCAATATACAGTTTAGGACAAGAGCCACAAGTCAGCTTATATACTCCTGATCTATCCGACACCAAAGTTTTGTCCTTATTGTTTTTAATAAATTTACTTAGGTTATTATTCGTTCTATAAGCTACGTTTACGCCTTCTTTCTTCAAAAAACGGGCAATATTCCTGTTTGGTTCCCCCACATATGTCAGTCTTATAACTAACGTTATCGCATCTTGAATATGGGTAGACCAGATCCATGGCTTGCTTTTGTCGTTTTTTGGAAAGAATGGAGCTTACAATATCTACCTTATAACCGTTATTAATCGCGAATTGTTTGATCAAATTCAGCTCTTTCTGGAAATCCCTATCAGACAGTGGAATATTCAATAATCTGTGAAGCATACTATTGAATGCAGCAACTTTATGCTGGTACGGGTGTACCAGCATTTTCAATCTTTTCATCTTTGATTTGATTTTTTGTATAGTTCGAACGCAAACCCCTGTGGCCTCACCTATTCATTCTGGAACTTTATTACTATTATTTCCTACCTTAGCATGAGGCATTCTCATTTCATCTGCCGTCGCTTTCACTAGCATACATTTTAATACGTTGTTCACAATTTCTCTGATTTGTCGACTGAAAACCTTGTTTTTCAGTTCACTGTTCAAATGCATTTTCAAAGACAACAAATAACTCAGTTATTCCACAGAATAATTTATCCACTCACTGTACTAACACCATGTTCACTATAAAAGTTCATCGATGTTATCAAGCTTCCGCTCCACTTTGCCGGCTGATCTTCTGCGCATCCAATATTCAGAGGCATCGATAGATGCCAAGCTGTACTTCATTCTGATGGAAATCTGAATGTGAGGAAAATTCAGATCGACTCACAATAAATTTTGTTCAACGACTGAATGTTGAAATAAGACAGTAGGTTATGGAATAGAGGCAGAATTAATGAGAAGAACTTGTTTCTTAGAGAGGTGTGTCTGTCCGAAAACAACTTTAATGTCTCATCTTTTCATATTCATTCTAACCCAAAAAACAAAATTATTCCTTCGCATGTGTCCATAATAAGGAGTATTGTTCATTGTTTTTTTATATTATATATTTTTATTTTATATTATATAGTATGGCTAAAACATATCTATAATTCATCAATAAAATCAAAAACGTTTCCAGACTTATGGAAGACAGCATAAGTGACACCTATCCATAAGTCTGGCAGGGTTTTTGATATTGAAAACTATAGGCCAATAGGAGTGCTGTATGCTATTGCGAAACTGTTTTAGCAGATCATCTATATAAAAGTGTTAACGGGTTTTGGCGAAAAAATTTGTGATGAACAGCACGGATTTGTTCCAAAAAAGTCGACGCCAACCAATCTACTAACATTCACTCATCACGTCCTCAACCATTTAGATAACAATAAACAGGTTGATGTTATTCATACAGATTTTAAAAAAACATTCGATAAAGTTAATCATGATACTGGAAAAGTTTCATAGAAATGGCGCTGATATCCAAGCACTCAAATTGCTGGCATCGTATTTGAATAACCGACACTTCAGAGTCGAATATGAAGGTGATTGTACAGGGAAATTTCGCGCAAACTCTGGAGTTCCTCAAAGATCAAACTTGGGTCCATTAATTTTTCTTATATTCATTAATGATCTAACTCAAAATATAAAGTACTCTGAGTGTCTCTTATTCGCAGATGACCCTAAATTTTATAGACGAAAAATTACAGGAATGTGTCAAACTACAAGAGGACATCAATAGTGTTTATCGATGGAGTGTGAAAAATGATCTTCCGTTCAATATATCCAAATGTTCTGTCCTGTCTTGTACCTGAAAACTAAATAAGACACTATACAATTACTTAATGAATGGTATTGAATTATCCAGGGTAGAGACTGTCAGATATTTGGGTATATACTATAACTACACACTCTTGTACAAACCCCATTTGGATTATATAGCATCTCATGCACTAAGAATTATGATATCAAAGTGATTACTACACTTTATAATAGTTTGGTCAGACCTAAACTTG